TATATTTTTTTTTTCATATTTAAAAGTATTCTATATGTCTTGTTTCTTATTACTGTGACATGCTGCTACATATAATAATAATAGATCAGATTCATACAGCACTTTTCTAGACACTCAAAGACGCTTTACACTGTCACGTATTCATTCACACACATTCATTCTGGTGGTAGCTACGATTGTAGCCACTGGGGCAGACTGACAGAGGCGTGGCTGCCTGTCTGCCCTCCGACCACCACCTCAATCCATTCATACGCATTCACAACAGGCAAGGTTCCCCAAGGACACAAGTACCAAGTTCCAGGGCGGAATCAAACCGCCAACCTCCTGATCATTGACTGACTCGCTCTACCACCTGAGCCACAGCCGCCCATATGAGTCAGAAAGTATATATAATATAACTAACCTGCTTGCTTTCCTAATATGTGCTTAAAGATGGGACTTATTAGGACATCCATCCATTATCTATACACAATTTAATCCTCACTAGGGTCGCGGGGGGGCTGGAGTCTATCCCAGCCGACATTGGGTGAAGGCCGGGGACACCCTGGACAGGTCACCAGTCTATCACAGGGCTACACTTAGAGACAGACAACCAAGCACACTCACATTCACACCAGTTTAGAATCACCAGTTGGACCTTGTGGGAGGAAGCTGGAAAACCTGGAGAGAACCCATGCTGCACGGGGAGAACATGCAAACTCCACGTAGAAAGATTCCGGTGCTCCCACCGGGACGTGAACCGGCAACCTTCTTGCTGTGAGGCAACAGTGCTACCAACTGCGCCACCCTGAAGCCCACTTATTAGGATGGATTTTTTCCATTTTTTTAACTCATCCATAATCAGAGACTATTGAGCTACTTGTCCAACATTGTAGATTTTGCAGATTCCAGGCTTTTATCTTTAATAATTCCTGAGATATTGTTGTTCAAACATCATCAGCTCTGTAGGTTAACGAACAATTGCAAATTATATATAAATAATTTGAGACTGTGTTCTCTC